CTGCTAGTTCGATCTCCTTGGTAGGAGAAGATCAAGAAGTGTTCTTGATATCATTTTTTGGAGAAAGGCTGATTGGAAGTTGTGCTCACTGCCTCCATTGAATTCTTCTTGAAGAGTTTGGTTCGTGGGATGAACCCTGCTGATTCTGCTCCTCCATCCACTGTGTCATCTTCAGTGGGAGCAGTCTTTGGTGATCTTTTTTGGGCGTGAACACCTCCATTGAGAGATACTATTTCTCTGTATCAGGTATATCCCTCTTCTACTGTTTCGTTTCAAATCTGGTTCATTTTTTGGTTAAAGATTAATCCTTGAAAAATATGATTTTTTCTAAAATAGGGAATACGATTCCTAGTTAAAGGGAGAGAAATTTTTGAAATTCGCCCACCCTATTCCGCAAGTTTTGGGCGTCCATCTGGTGGAACTCTCACTCCCCTCAAGAAAAACTGTGGTCACCTCCCTTGTTTGATCCATATAGTTGGATTGTAGTTTTGTTGAAAACTACGTTGCTGAACCGACTTCACTCCAAGCTGTGCCATGTTCAGTGGAAGCTGGTTTTGGGCTTTGATTTGGGCGTGAACTACCACTTTGGGAGCTATATCTATGGAATCCGTATGAGGTATATTTCTCCCTCCTTTTGGTTTTATAGCTGATCTAGTTTTGGTGCAAGAACGATCCTAGAAAAATGTAGTTTTTCTAAAGCTGGGAATGCGATTCCTGTAAGGCCGAAAGAAATTTTTTGAAATTTTGCCCAACCATCTAGCATGGTTCGGCCAGCCATATGATGGATTTCACCTTCCAACAATTCTTGACCAACTTGGTGTAATGATTTTAGAAATATATCAAGTTGTTTTTATGTTTTCTTATACGATCTGATTAATACAATATAATTTTGTATGAAAAATAAAAAAGAATGAGAGAGGGAGCGAGGGAATGACTGAGAGAGAATGATAGAGATTGAGACAAAAGGAGATATTGATCGAGAAAGATAATGATGGAGAAGGATAAATTGATTGAGAAAGAGAGTGAGAGAGATTAAGGGAGAATGATAGATTCACACACACACACACACACACACACAGAGGGAGAGAGAGGGAGAGATAGATAGATAGATAGATAGAGAGAGAGAGAGAGAGAGAAATGGAGGTTTTGATTTGGTTGTATACTGAAGTTAGAGGAGTGGGAGAGAAGTTGAAAACCTATTTTCAGTATAAGCTTTTTGCTGTGTCCAATATGGATTAAGAGTCACATGTTGGCAACGACCACATAAGCCTTTGATGACATGGCAAGGGATTTTATAATTTGAAATGTAGAGCCAGTTATCAGAATTTTGTTAGTTTCTGGACCAACCTTGCAGCTTAATTTTAAATGTACAACTGACTTTGACTATAATTTTCCCTTTTAATTATCCTATCAATACTAATTTTATTAATTTCTGATTTTTTTTTTGTAGTTTCTAGATAAAACTTGCTAAAGTTTAATATATATATTTTCTAACTTTAGTAATTTGAGTCAAAAAATAGTTGCTTGAGCCAAAAAAATTGTAGGTTTAGCTAGGTTGGGCCAAGTTATAAATGATCACCTAAGTAGGAGTCTTATGACATTTCTAATTGGGCCATTATAAGTTTTATTATATTATTTTAATCAATTTTTATCATTTTTATATGGAATGCAAATGGTTTATTTTATTAGTTTTTCATAATCTTTTACTTTTTTTATTAATTTTAGCTATCCTATTAATATTAATTATCTTTAAATAGAATTAAATTGTATTTTAGTTTTTTAATTTATGAACTACTAATTTTATTAGTTTTAGTAATTTTTTATTAATTATAGTTATTAGATTTCAAATTATATATAGATTACTATTATTATATTATCGTATGTGTTAAGATATGTTGTATTGTGTATCACACATTACGGGTTTCCAAACGAATTGAAACCACTTTTGGAAATGGGTCAACATAGACCCATTTAGTTCGTCTTCTTCACCCAATGATAAAACATGTTTTACAATTTAAATTTTTATTAAATTTTTATTTCTATATCATTTTTAATGAGGCTTCTTTTTTATATATGTCTTTTATGTAGCATGTGCACTAAGCACAGGTTATATCAAACCATAAAGGTCTCAACTCATAAAATTATTAATTTTAACATTATTATTAATTAAATAATTAAAAATGCATTAATACATAGGTTATATCAAACACATGTTTAAATCATAATATTATTAAAACTACCAATCATTATTTTTGTATTTAAATTTCTTTATTTTTATTAGTGTTTATTAAGTGGAATTGGAATGTTTTTAATTAACATTTTAAGGAAACTAAAAGATAAATGTGTTTTAATTTTTACTAAGTTTTGTTAATAGTTATTATTTTTAAGTAGAAGTTTAGTGGATTTTTAAATTAATAATTTTTCATTTTTGTTGTGTTGTGCTTTATTGTTTAATATCAATCTATTTATATTATTTGATTTAATAATATTTTACTTTATTATGTTGTATTACCATTCTCTCTCTCTCTCTCTCTTGTCCTTTTTACCTTTGTCCAAGAAGAGTAGGAAGAATTATTCTTTGAAAGTTGTCTCAGAAAATAAATTAATGGAGGGTAAAGTTGAAATTTTAAATTGTGTATGATAATGCCTTGATGATGTAAATTATTTTTGATGATATTTAATATTTAGAAATAATTGAAGTTTAAAAACTCAAGCCCAACCAGTGCAAAAATCTTTAATTGAGCCGGGTCAAGTTTGGATTAGACTCAACTAAGTTCCACCCCTAGCTTCTTTTGCCTCAAATTCGTTTAATAAAGCTCGTATAGTTCACGTGGGTCCCCACTAGTATAAAATTAATTTGCTTAAAACAATAAAAAAACTTATAAAAATCATCATCATCATCACCATCACCATTGTAGTTTCCTTCAAACATAATAAAATTAATTAAAATTAACACAAAATTTGGTCAATTTCACTAACCAACTTGGATTGTTGTCAGACTTACTAGATACAATCATCAAAAGAATGCTTGAGTTACACTTGGATCGACTGGGCTAAATTGAGGATATCATAGGGTTCTTCTAGTTCAACTTCACTTAAGAAACCCATGCATCACATGGGCCCCCAAGGGCCCAATTATTATCAATATATTTTTACAGTACACACCAACCCCTAAATTGAACTTGTTTGGTAGCATTCCACTCAAGTTGAAATGCCGGTACACGAGCATCATGTAGAAAATAGGAAGACCACATTTTACATTGGGTTTTCACACAGGAGCATTTGAACTTTGGAAGAAACCTCAAATTAATGTTTCTTTTTCTTTTTTAATTTTCCACTGCAACAAAATGGTGTTTCTTGAATAGGGTTTTCACCAGTTCGGATCTTCTACCAACAACACGCTCCTAACATGTCCCAACTGAGCACTGTAGCCACAAATTAGAAAATATGTTCATGAATGAGAAGGGAGATGTTCCCAATGCACAGCTGCAATGGCCAGTTGGGATACTGTTGGGAGCATTTTTTGATAGCAGATCCCTGCCCGGTTTAGCCTGATCCAATTGCATTTTTTCGGAAGCTATATGATGCAATAGCTGAGATGATCGCTTGGCATCCCAAAAATATGGCGAGAAAACTTTAGCTGTTAAGAGCCAACAGCTTAGCTGTTAGGATTTGGGAAGTTCTTGGGCATGAAGGTTTAAAGTATCGAAATGCACAATGTGCACGAACAGGTGTATCAGGTATTTTAGTACTTGATAACTTTCAAATTTTTAGTTTTTTTTTTTTCAAAAATGTTTCAAGGATCGGTTTTAAGCTTACGATACTGTAACGAAATTTTGAACCTTAACCATGACACGTTAACTATTCAGTCCCTTGTTTGTCTTTTTCTTGTCCAAAAGAAAATAGATTGCAATTACTCTCTTACCCCGCACCCATGGTAACGTGTCACGCTCAAGAACGTTCCCAGGTTTTTCAACATAGAGGCACGGGATCAAACCCCAATAACACTTGACACACGTTTGAAACAATAAGATATCGTGTTCCAATGTTTTTTGCCTAAAAAGAAAAGAACTCCCTGTTGTTCCTATATAGGGAAATAGCTTCAAACAGTACCATTCAGGCTGAAACTCCTGAGCCTCAAACACCATCCTAGGAGCTTCTGTGGGCTGGCACCTCAATCCCACTTCCGCTCCGGTCTGTCCCCATTCCACACTCTGATTACTTGGCTAAGGACAATATGAGAAATAAGGTCCGATCACCCATGTAGCCCACCTAAGAGAGTGCCTCATTACATATAACAAATGTACATGATAACCATGTATCATACTGTATGAATTTGAAGCTGAAAAAGTGCTCCTTTAGGCTGTCTGGTTTGAAAGAAAGAATAGGGAAAGGAACCGATCACCCGTGTAGCCAACCTAAGAGAATGCCTCATTACATATTACAAATGTACATGATAACCATGTATCCTACTGTATGAATTTGAAGCAGAAAAATGTTCCTTTAGGCTGTCTGGTTTGAAAGAGAAGGTAGGGATATCTCTTTGGTAGTCCCTTAACATGGCACAACAGTACTGCTTCATGGGTTTGTAGCCCCTGTAGATCAGATAGCTAATAGGCCATTACTCAATTTTGGTCCCAGTATCTGAGATCTTGGGAGGGGTTTTTGACTGGAGACCAACCTAACCTCTGGGCTCTGGCATTTTTCTTTTTCACAAAGTAGCCACTCTCAAACCACCTGCTCACACTTGTCAGCCCAAGATTTTATCATTATACCAAGTGATGGCCCCTATACAACTGACTGCTCCCTTTCCCAGAAATTAGTCTCAGTTAATAGCAACAAACTATCGTCAAGTACAAGGTGGAAAATGGAAACTGTGTTTAATCATTAAGGATTTATACAATACCATGCTAGCTACATCCCACAACATGGTAAAGAAGGGTTAGCCTAAATTCATACAGCTCAATACCAGTGGCTGAAAATATGAATGCAACTGCACAGCCTGAAACAAGGTTCCTTTCTGTTTTATTTCTAGCAATTGGACTCCAATTCTACAACGCTGTTCCTTTTACATAATTTTAAGAGGAATTTTATTCCAATCCATATACATAAGGTACACAAATCACACTGCAACACCAAATTGCTAAGCTAATAAGAACTGCTTACCCAGAGCTGCTGTGAGCAGGGCCCCCTTGATTGGCCAAGAAACGAACAACCACACAAGTAATATTATCTGCACTCCCTCTTTGGTATGCTTCCTGCATCAACCTCTTAGCTGCCTGCTCTGAATCCTCTATTGATTTAATCATGGAAACAGCCTCCTGAAAGAGTTCAGAAATAAAGAAAATTAAGTTGTTTTTCAATGTGACATGGGCCACAGAAAGCTGTGTCCCTGATGCAATCTTATATTTGTGGCACATCATGGCCTCAGAAAGCTGGGTTATTCAATGGTGCACCACCTCTTGGATGGACCATAGCAGAAATCATATCAATCAACCACGGTAACCAAGCACAGGAAAATAAGCAAAAACTTGAATAGCTACAGGAAAAGAAAAGTTGGAGAAATTTGAGGAATAATAGTATCGAAGCTTTTAGCTAATTTTCCATCCAAAAGGTGAGACATCCTTTTCAGTCCAATCCAAACAGCCCATGGATGAAGTGCGTGTAGCATGAAGGAACAACTAGTGTCTTCAATTGGAAATTGAACATAAAGAAATTTAGAGATGAAAAATATTAAGAAACCTCATTTGAGACAACATCCCACAACCCATCACTAGCAAGAATAAGAAATTCCAAGGAACTGTCAATCACTTCTTCCTGCAATTTAAACAGCAAAGCAATCAGCACACACAGAAGAAGACAAGAGAGGGAAGGCAGGTAGACCTGTAGACCTTTTAGCCTCTTACAATGACCACCATAACAACAATGGCTAACAAATTACAAAATATAAATAATGGGCATATTAGTATGCAATAACCATAGCTTAATAATGGTTGATGCCCTAATACTATTTCCCTCTATACTTATTTTTGTCACATTGAAAGAACCTGACTGTCCATCAAGCAGGGACTACCAGATTGGCCATGTATTCCAGTCTGTATTACTACCATACCAAATTTGCCTGGTGAATAACAGACATAAATACTTCTAATTTTTTCTTAAATATAAAAATCCATAAAAGAGGGTTTTTTGAACCCTTGGCAATATCTTATGGGATGCAATTTTTACCAATGAGTAAAGGATGTGCAAGGAATATGGGGATTCCTTCGAGCTCAAAATTAAGTTTCAATGCAGAAGATTTTGATGACCCGACTAGCAAACCAATTTTGATCTATACGTTCTGTTCATTCAGATAGTGTGGCATGCCAGGTTTGATGGGACTCAAATTACAAAATGTCACATCTCACATGTCAATCACAACTTGAGAAGATGGCTAATAACCATCAGTTTTATGGCTATGGGCATGTTATGGATCATTATACAGTTATCATCTAATAGATAACCTATCTTTATAATTATCCAAAAGAATATAGTAGATAGATCAGATGTTATATATCCATAATACTTTTTGACATTGATTATCGAAAAAAATGCCACTTTCTGATACAAGAAGTCTCAGGTTGGACCAATATCCCTTGCATTGAAGATTTGAACTGTGAAATCCTAGCAATGAATTTATCATCTGCCAAATTTTAGAGATAGGAAGAGGTAGACCATATAATGTCCATACATTCAGACCTGAATTTCAGGATCTGCAACAACAAACTGCTTTAAAAGCCTGTCACCAAATGCACGAGAAACAGCAAGAACACCACCAACCCTCCAAGTGCCTACAGCAACATTTTCTGGTCAACTTATGGTTTAACATGGTACATAGATAATTAAAACCCTGCAAAATCTAAATTAGATGATTTCCTCACCAGCCCACATCACAAAACCTCCAGCATCTTCAATCCGTTGTCGCTCATCAGTTTGGTCTGGCTTGTGATCTCGTGAAACTGCTATAGCTGCAAAAGTTGGAAAATAGCTTTCTTAGGTGATGGCTAAATGAAGCAAATGGACAACATAAGAAGAACATTTAATGAATATAAGTGTCCTTACATCTGTCTTACAACATCTCCTTCACTCTGGTTTGCATGCATTAATTTGCATTCTAAGGGAAAACCTTCTCTTTTGTCTATCCAACTACAATTCTATAACTAACATCATCCTCAATCTCTCTTTTTGTCAATGATCAAAACTAGACTATATAAATGGAAATTCTGGGTATACCATTTGGTCATTACTCTTAATTGATGCCTTTGACAAGTTGTTGCAAGACTGACCAACTGATGGTGGCTCAGTTGGTAAGTTCTCTTGCTAGTTGGAGTGGAGATGTTGGGGTCAAACCCCATTGCCACCAGGGGGTGTGTGTGTGTGTGGGGGGGGGGGGTTATGGGTATGGGGGACGGGTTACCCCCATTGTATACCTCCATAAAGGTAAAAAAAGGAAAAGAAAAAAAGAAAAAGTTGATGCAAGGCTGAAATCTGAAAAAATTGTTGTTATAGATGATTATCACCTGTAGGCCTGTTATATGTTTTGTTTCTTTCTTCTTATTACTGTTAGTAGTTATTGGGATTTCGTCCTTGGTCCCAATAATGTTCTTAAGTCATTACTCAACTAGTGTTACTAATCAGGGGCATTATTGTACATTTATGTATTTTTAATGAAAATCTTAATGAAAACAATTAGGGTTGGCCAGAGAGTGATTCTGCCACCCATTCTTTTCAATTTTCTCTTTTCTTCTCCAAAAACTTTGCAAGTCTGAGAACATGGTATCAGAGTGGTGAAGATTAGGGCTGTCAATGGACTGGATATTGGTCCAACCCGACCTATTCCAATATGAGTCCATTACAGATGGACCAGGTCCAATCCAATCAATGAATACTTTGGACCATTCTGCACTGGTCCAATTCAATTTCTGGGCCATCCAATCTGTTCAAATTGGTTTTAATTTAGATAGGGCTTGAAACGGATCGGGTTGGATTCAGTAAAGGGTATACCAGATAAGAAATCTGACTGATCCAAATCCGATAAAAATCCAGTGGATTTTCAAGAGTATGGTTCGAATTCGAATTTGAATATCTTATCGGATATCCGATTTGATTAGAATTGTAATAAAAAATTATGATATAATATAAATAATATATAGAATATACATATATAATATATAATATATAATATATAATATAGGTGACACATTTAATGATTGGATTTCTCCATAAATGATAAAGGTAAAATTCAAATTTGATGGGTGGTTACCTATCAGGATCATTTGGAATTTGAAGATGCATTCAGGACATGAGGGGGTCATACTGCTGAGTCTTTCAGAACCAATAAAAGAAGGGATTTCATTAAAAGCAGAATTGCTTGCATTTCTCCAAGGGATAATTTTGCTTATTCCTCTACATGGAATAATTGATGTCTAGTTGCAATAAAATGATGACTTCAGCTGACAGGGCCCCATGGCATTTTGGGCTCATTTTGAGAGAGGTAGAGTCTATAGTTTCTCTTCTTCACAGTTGGTTTTTTTTTCAGGCAAATTCTAGAACTGGAAATGTTTTGACAAACTTTATGGCAAGGGAAAGTGTAAGTAAACCAAACCTTTAGTGGGGAATTCCAGGTACAGGGGCACATTATCAAAAGTAAGCTTGTTTAATAGGCTAAAGGGATGCCTTCGTAGCTGTTTTTTCAGTTATGTAACAGTTCCAATGATGGTGGCTAGTTTTGTGTGTGATCAAGCTATCTTCTTTGGATAGAAAGGTTTTTCTTTTATGAAATCTCTTATTGAGTTACTGATGGAAAAATATCAGAGCAGTTTAGCATGCCATTACTTACCATTCCCACCCCTGCAAATAACAGCCCTGGAATCCCCAACATTTGCAACTAGCAAGCGATCACCAACAAGTATAGCAGTGGAAGCTGTTGAGCCAGCATCTCTGTTCTGGGTATTTTCTGATTTGAGAAATTCAGAATCTGTATGGCTGTATGCATCAGCTGCAAAACAGGTATAATTGGGGCAAACCCAGAAAAGCAATTGTAAGATTACATAAAATAGAGATGAAGCTTTTATATTGAAATCAGTACAAGGACATGCACCTATGGCTGATTTGGTATCAGATATGAACTTTGGATGCCTGATCAAATTACTAAACAGATTTTGTTTCACATATTCTGCAGCTCGAGCACCCCCATGACCTGAAACAATCACAAGACTTGTAAATATGCAACAGTTTATCTATTAAATTTTCAAAACATCTTGAAGTTACATATTTCATATTTACAATTAGTAGGATTCCAAATCTGTCAGTAGTTTTTGAGCAAAGATAGAGTTACAGGAGAATGAACGGCACCCAGTATTTTGTGGGTAAGAAATATTTCACCTGTACTATTGCCATGCATTATGATCATGCAGATTTCTAATTATTGTGAAATTAACAATATAGCATTATATATACAGACTTACCATCAAAGACTCCGAAAAGACCAACGATCTCCCCATCAACACCATCAATTCTAGTCTCATAGAAATCTTCCATTGAAGACCTTTTCCCTGGAGAGCTTGCATATCCATAGCTAAATTTCCCATTTTGACTGTTGAGGGAAAAACATGTCAGGTTAGTATTACAAGCATCCTATTAGATAGTATACAACTTTCAGACACATTTCTTGATGGTCCCATAATAATCATACAGGAACATAAGTAACTACCTTGATGTTATTTGTTATTTTATTAAACAAATTTCTTAATATTCAAATAAAAACGTGGGCCCCATATACTCTGTTTAAAAATTTTTTAGACATAAAACCGAGATTCCTGATTCAAACAAAAAAGGCTTAAACAACCAAAGAATTTTCTCAAACCTAAATTGGATCTCTTGGGACCAAGAGCTGCTTAATGTTTCCACATGAAGTCTTGTGGGTCCAGTTAGAAGTTAAATCTCCTCAAAAACTATGTTTCTCCCAGATAGCCCTAGCTTAGGCTTTTCATTGATAACAAGAGAACTTTGACCAAACAATAAAAAACAGGTTTTCCCCTAATATTCGGTGAGAAACATTATTTTAGGTGCTGATATTTTTTTCCTGGAATTTTGGATCTTTTATCTGGGTATTTTGATCAGCCTTTTGACGGTTTTTAGAAATTAAGTTTTTTTTTTTTGTTCCAACCATTGATTTGAATGGTACTTCAAAGTTATTTTCTTTTGACAAATCAAGTAGAATTTTTTTTTTTGTATCAGACTGTACAAAGTAGGACAGTATTTGGAATATCTTCCACCTTATCACTGTACATCATATGTATTTTAACACTATTCTTTTAACCTTTGTATGTGCAGTAAGGGTACTGCTGTAATTTCTCAGCCATTTGATATAAAGTATATTCTTTTCTCTTGGGTTAGTCAAATGGGACAGACTGCCCCCTCTATTGTGAGTCTCTTCTTTTTCTCTGTTGTATTTGTACTATATAGCTGCAGGGGTATTTTTTTTTTCTTTTATATACTGTTTGGTTACCCTAATAAAATAATAATAAAGGGTGCTGCCAGCCTTGACTTTTGGACCTGTGAAGAGTTTTTTCCTTTTTATGGTTGAAGAAATATTGAGTTGATAGGGCTGTTTCTGATTTGTGGGTTTTCATTGTGGTTGGACTGCTTATTGGACCTGCTGGGTAGTTAATGCACCTTATGATTCTGATCTGTTATAATTTCTTCTAGTCACCATTGGGTATCTCAAGGCGTATTCTGGTGTATATGTATCTATTTGTGCATCCCCACTGGAGTTTCACTTGCAGCTTGTACAGTGTTTTAAAAGTGCAAGGCATGAAAAAAGCGCAAGGGCCATTTTGCGCTGAAGGTGCAAGGCGAGGCATGCGCCTTTTTGAAGCAAGACGCAAAAATGATAAAAAATTCAAAGAAAAAGCAAAAACATGCAAAATATTAAACAATATTAATTAAACATATAAACTTAAGTTATAAAATAAATGTTTTAAAAAAAATCTATTGTCTCAAATTAAAATACATAAACATAACATGTAAAACATATTTAAAATGAAAATTTAAAAATAAAATCAAAGCATAACATATAAAACATATTCAAGCATGCAAACTCTTGATCTCTTAATTTTCTTTTGCCAATTGTGTTACTTCAAATAGCTAATGTGATGTTAAACATTATGCATTCCTGATTCTACAAGCTGCCTTTGTACCAAGCCCCTCGAGGCAAGCCCAAACAAGTCCATATCAGGGTCTTAAATTTTCAATCTCTACACAAGAAAAAGGTTTTGTAACTTGGAAGTGTCTTTTAAAAATATCTTTTATTAGGATGAATGAATGAGAAACATTGGCAAATATGTACATTTTCAAAAAATGCACATTTTCAAGCATAAAAAACAAAAAAAATAAACATTTTCAAAAGGTGCGCACCTAGGCTGAAGTGCAAGGCACACCAGGTGCACCTTCTAAATCACTGAGCCTGTGTGTTTTTGTTGTTGATAAAGGCAGTGGAGGGGTTACTTGAAGTGTTCTACACACTGCTTTATATGCCAACCAAGGATTCAGGAGATTCTGGAGTTACCTCATCTCAACCTATGCTTAATAACAGCATGAATAGCATTAACTTTCTCATTGACATCACTCCCTTTGATGGCTGGAAATACTTGGAGTGGTCAAAGAATGTAAGATTGTTCATAGCTGGAAAGGGGAGGCCAGGTATATTAAAATAACCAAGAATAGGGCAGCCTCAGTTGAGAAAGAATTTTATGTGGGCTGATACTGCATATGAAATTTGGGAGTAGGTCAAAGCCACCTATGCTAAATAGAGACACTATTTCAGTGTATCAATTATTAACAGAATCTTCAGCATGCCAGCAAGGCAACAGAAGCCTTTCCACAGTGGAAAGAATTGGATCACTATCAGTCCATTGATTGGAAAGATGAGAGTGATGCTAAGGCTCACTAGAAACTTGTGTCAAAACAGAGAGATTTTGCTTTCTTGGTGGGTTTTAACCCAATATATCCCTTAAGAGTGCAGATTTTAGGAAGCAAGGAGTACCTTCAGTTCAAGAAGTATATGCTCTTGTGCAGTCAAAAGAAAGTAGGAGAAATGCCATAGATCCTCTTGAAGGAGAGTAGATTGCTTTAGTAGCAAAGGGTAGCGTGGTGGAATGGAAAAAAGGTAACACAAGTAAGAAGCCAAAGGGTGATGAGGACAAATTTTGGTGTATTCACTGCCAGCATCCTAGGCACACTAATCATGTTGGAATTTGGTTGAAAGGCCAAAGAATCCCACAAAGAAGCAGGTATCAAGAAGTTTAACTTAGCTAATGTTGCATCTCAAGATTCTCAAAGTGGTGCTACTACTATCAGTTCATCTCAGAAGCACTGTATTAGTTCCGCTACTAAGGAGGATCTTTTTAGTGCCATGAGGGATCAAGTTGAGCAGTAAGCTAGAGCCTTGCACCATTTGGAGAGAGCACCTTGTACTCTGTCCACCTCATTCGCATCTACAAAAGGTAACTGCCTTCCATATGTCCTCTCTTACTTCCAAGTCTCAAATTATTGACCAAGGATTAAAGTATCGGTGTCAGGTATTGTATTGGACAACTTATACAAATACGGATAGGGGTATGCTTTGGAAAAGGTAATCATGGTACTGCCTTCCATATGTCCCCTCTTCCTTCCAAGTCTCAGATTATTGACCAAGGATTAAAGTATTGGCATCAGGTATTGTACCGGACAACTTGGATACAAATACGGATAGGGGTATGCTTTGGAAACACATGGATACGGATGAAAAGTATGGAAACGCATGGGTACACTAGGGAAATATATGCAAATTCCAAAAATACATTAACAATACTAAATTGAAGACTAAAATAGTCACAAATAGTATATAAATACATAAAAATGTATCTTTTAATGGTATATATGAAGAAATATATTACAATTAATATACCAGGATGCATAGATATCGTATATTTTTATTTATAATGCATCAACCAAGAGTCCAAGACGCTAAATATATGCACCTATAATATTTTAATTATTATATCAATTATTTTTGTTTTAATTTTTTAATTTTTTAATATTAACAAAAAATCAAATAAATATTAAATTCTCAAATGTAAATTAAAATATCAAATTTGTTAAAATTTCTAAGATACATATGATATACAAATTTATAATTTTTAATTACTAAAATAATAATTCCATTATTAATATTTTTATTTCTATAAATTATATGAAATAAAAAATCATTTTTTGAAATAAATGTAGATTAGTGGATTTGATAGATTCAATTTAATATTATATTTTTCAATTTTGTAAACAATACTTTTATTTTTTGTGAATAATAAATATGCTATTATTACTTATTAATGTAAATTAACATATTAGTTAATAATTTTTAAAATGCATGAAAATTTTAAGATGCATATCATGTGCAAATTTATAAATTTTAAGTATTAAAATAATTATTCTATTAGTTTATAAAATACTATTTTGCATGTGTTTTTTTTGTTAAATATAAACATGTGACAATAAAATTTATTTTATTTCATTTACTACCACAAAATGAATTGTGGTTCGATGGTTCAAAAACGCGCCAAATGGTTAACATGTTTAAGGTGACTTGGGTTCGAGTCACCATATTGCATTTTTTGTTGAGAAAGATATGCGGTGTATCACGCAGATCGGTCCATATTAGTGCACATTGGCCGATACAATGCTATACCGGACGATACATATCTGTATCGGTTCGATAAGCATGATTTATAGGATACACTTCTATTCGTAGTGTATCCCATACTGTTACAAACCAATACCGATACGGTATGCCCTGTATCGGACATATCATATCGATATTTAAATCCTTGTTATTGACTTAAGGGCCTCTAACTACATTATTGGTAAGTCCAACTCTTTACCTCATACAATCTTCTTTCCAGAAGAGATAAAATGAACTTATCAAATGGTTCCCCCTCAACCATTACTGGTCAATGATCTGCATCTCTTCCTCATGGCATTCTCTTTTTTTTTTTGTGTTTTACATGTTCCCCAGTTATCTATTAATCTTTTGTCCATTAAAAGACTATCAAACCATTGAATTATCGTGCAACTTCCTTTCCAAATTCCTGTGTATTTTAGAATTTGACTTCAGGGAAGATAATTTGTAGAGAATATCATGGTTGATGGTCTCTACATGCTAGCAAATAAAGTTGATTTGAAGGCAGCCCAGTTTATTATTAGTCCCATTAGTCGGTGTAATAAGAGCCAAGGTTATTTGTGGCACAGTTGCCCTAATTATTTATCTTTTGATCGATGAGAATTGTTGTTCTTGAAGTTGTTTAAGTCTGTTTCTACTTCTTCCTTACAGTGCTAAACATGAAAGTTAAATAAACATTATAGAACTTCATTTCCTCCAAGTCCAAGTAATAAAAAGAACAACTTGAGCTACTTTTCCTTTTTCACATTATTCATTCTGATGTTTGGGGCCCTACATTTGTGACTTCAGAAGGTGGTTATAAACGTTTTATCAATTTTATTGATCTCAAGGTAGAGATACAAAATTTTCAATCTGACAATGCTAAGGAGTACTTCAAA